ATGCAATGTTCTTCAAATTAATTTGCATGCAAATTCACCCAAATGAACCCAAAGTTAATTTGGAGAGCACCGCATTCATGGCACATTCATTAGCATCTTACAGACATCAGTTTGAGAAATACTGTGAGATAACGTTAAAGAGAGAAAAGAGATAATGGGAAGGAAAACCGATGGCTCAGGGCTCATTTCTTCTTTAAAGCAAGCTGGTGATCAAATCTGGAATGATACCAAAATGTCAGTATATGCGCAAGGCCTTGAAATTTTTCATAATTCTTTTTTTCCTTCTGTGCATTGTATTAATCAATGTCCCAAATGTGTGTGTTGAAAATTATCTTCCAGGAATATACCATATATATCTAACAAATACATATATTTTACTACAGGAATCATATACTGTTTTTCTCAGAAAGACTCTGAACAAGTTACGGTTAGTTTACAGAATCTGGGCATTCTTGCGGGTGCTTACCATGCCAATCTGGAGCCAGAAGATAAGACCAAGGTTCACAGAAAATGGTCAGCCAATGAAATTCAGGTTAGGTATATATCTTCCATGGAAGCCTAATTTACCTTTGAAATATTTAAACTTGATTTAATTAACTGATAAAATGTTAAAATATTTCAGGTAGTAGTGGCAACTGTTGCATTTGGTATGGGAATTGATAAGCCAGATGTGAGGTTTGTTATCCATCATTCAATGAGTAAATCCATGGAAAATTATTATCAAGAGAGTGGACGTGCAGGTATGTAGGACTCAAATCCAGAAGTACTTTTTAGAAAGCTTTTCCCAAAAACACATTATAAGTGCTTAATAAGTCTGTATATTTAGCCTTTACTGGACAGTATTTTTAGAACAGTATTTTTAGTAGTTTTACACTTACTTGCATATGGAGAAATTTTTACTTATGTTCTGTTGTTATCTGAATTCTTTTCATGTGTGTTAATTTGATGTGTATCTTTGCCTCCTGAAGTTTTAATTAGTTGTTTCACATCTATAGCTTAACTGGATTATCGACACATATTTTAACTTAGTAAAGCTGATTATTGATGTCTCTTTAGAGTTTTTTTTTTTTTAATTTGAGGGTACCCATTACAAATTTCTAAAATTTCCAGATGTGGTATAAAACATTGCCTAATTTTACATATCTCATTTTTGTGTATTTTGAATTTTTAAAAGTAACTCCACAATCTCAAGGTTTCTCATACCACAGGTCGAGATGACATGAAAGCAGACTGCATTTTGTACTATGGCTTTGGAGATATATTCAGAATAAGTTCAATGGTGGTGATGGAAAATGTGGGACAACAGAAGCTTTATGAGATGGTGTCATACTGTCAAAACATAAGCAAGTAAGCCACATACCTTTTTATAACTTCTATCAATTAAAGCAAATATGAAAGTGTATGACATCATTTCCTCATTTTTTAGTTCTTACTAAATACATTGGTGAAACACCAAAGTGCAGATCCATAAAAGCAGATGTTGGAGGGTAGGAACCAATACATCAATCTATATGATCTACGTTAATTCAAGAAAAGATGCCCTAAATTTGAGAGATAATCCTCCAAAACTACTTTTTTAACTGAAGGTTTTTGAGGCATATTGATAGCAAGTTGAAGCCTTTTTTTCTGTGGCACTGGTATACAGTTACATGCTTTAATAATTTTGAAAAGGTCTATAGTTAAGATAGGAATTTTGAGAGTCAAGCTCAGTAATGTGCCATTCTTCCAGCTCATGTGTCAATGAAATACCAAATTTCTCCTTAAGAAGTAAGTTTAAATCTACTTAGGGTGGCTTTAGACTGTATAGCTTCCTGAAAGCTTTTTGTCATAGTTATGTTTGTGTTCTTACTGCCTAGCACATAAGAAGTGCTCAGAAATGTTGAGGTGGTAAACAGCAGCCAGTGATGGAAGTGTTGTTTCTTTCCAGTAGATGCTACAATAATCTAGTTAAAAGAAATGAGAAAATGAAAATGTCTTTAAAAGCCCAGTAGATTCTCATGAAGCATATTTTAAGGTTTCAATTCAAATATTGCTACTTTAAAATAGAAGAAACTATTTTGCTGTCAAGAATATTCTTCTAATAGTTTTAAAACTTTGAATTTAAAAGTGGACCTCAGACAATTTCTTAAACAGTGTTTATCAAGAATATACAGGGAAAAATCATATGTGGGGGGCACATATGAAAGTATATGACATCATTTCATCATTTTAAAGTTCTTACTAAATACATTGGTGTAATTAGGACATGAACCCAAAGATGTTCATGTCCTAATTCCTAACCTGTATATTACCTCCCATGGCAAAAGGAATTTGGAGTTGCATATGGAATTAAGGCTGTTCATTAGCTGACCTTAAAGTAGGGAGATTACTTCGGCTTATCAGAGCGAGCCTAATGTAATCACAAGGGTCCTTAAAAGTGGAAGAGGCAGAAGTGATCAGATGAATGTGATGTAAAAAGAACTTGACACCTTGATTTTCATCCAGTGAAACCCACAGTACACTTCTAAACTACAGAAATGTAAGAATAAATTTGTGTTTAAAGCCACTAAGTTTATGGTAATATTATGGCAGCTATAAGAAGCTAATACAGTATATAATTGTGTAATCTGAAATAGAGATTCTTAAAACCTTATATCCTTTAGTAATTTGTAACTTTAAATGTGTTTGCAGATGTCGTCGTGTGTTGATGGCTCAACATTTTGATGAAGTATGGAACTCAGAAGCATGTAACAAAATGTGTGATAATTGCTGTAAAGACATTTGTGAGTTCGTTTTGTATACCTTTGTTGGCTAATACAGTCATATACTACCTAGTGACGGGGAAGTGCATCCTTAGGTGATTTTGTCATTGTGCAAACATCTAAGTGTACTTACATAAACCTTAATGGTATAGTCTTCTCCTGGGTTATATGGTATAGCCTATTGATTCTAGGCTACCGGTCTGTACTGTGTGTTACTGCACTGCTTACTATCGGAAACTGTAACACAATGCTAAGTATTTGTGTATCTAAACATAGAATAAGTACAGTACAAATATGGCATTATAATCTCTTGGCACCACTGTCATGTACATGGTCCATCACTGACCAAAACATTATATGGCACAAAACTGTATATAGAGCTAGGACATGAGAGAAGTATTAGACTTCCCAATGGATTTAAAAGATTAAAATGTGAATCAGATTTTCCAGAATTAAAAGTATCAACATAAAGTTTTCAAACAAAGGTGAATAAAAGGAAAAGTCATATGTGTATGCACACATTTTATATTGCTAAACTATACCAACGATGTGAAATTTTTAAGAAATGAAGGAAAATGTTTGAATTCTTCTGAATAGAAATGCTATTCTGTAAGAAAAGGCTAACCATGTGATAATCTCTAATACTTTATAGTCACTAATTGGGAAGAAAATGTAGTGCAAAATAGAGATTATACTGAATCATTTTTGATCCAGTTAATGGCTAGTCATAAGAGATTTACTTAAAATTCTTTTAAAGGTAGGAGATCAGCGGGACTTATTTTCTGAGTATTGGTCACAACCCTGCTGATCAAAACAGGATCTGGTCAAAACAAGACGTAGCAAAGAAACTGGCCCAAAGCAGTTAGAACTCGAAAATATACTGCATTTGCATCCTGTAAGACACTCCCACATACACCATGACAGTTTACAAATGCCATGACAATGCCTGAAAGTTACCTTACATGGTTCTCGTAACTCCCTACCCCTTTTCTAGAAGATTCATGAATAATCTGCCTCTTATTTAGCATATAACTAAGGAGTATCTATAAATATAGCTAGCGAGCAATCAAAAGTGCCACTCTGCCTTTGGGATAGCCCTGCTCTATGGAGCTGCCATTTCCTATATTTTATTGCTAATAAACTTGCTTTGCTTTCACTTTACTCTGTTGGCTTGCTCTCAAATTCTTTGCTGCATGAAACTGGGAACCGTCCTGGGCTGAGTCCCAGTTTTGGGATTTGCCTGCATCATTTGAGCACCGTATTTTAACTTTTATTCATCTGCGTGTTGTATTTGAAGAGCTGGACTAGGCAGTACCTCATGTAAGACCTTGCAGAGTTCTTATAGGTGGAGGCCACTACATTTTTAACTTGCAGACAGAGAAATTTATGAGTTTATTAGACTATCTTATAAACTAACAAGAGTGTAAGATATAAATCAGAGTACTGGTCTCTTAATAATTGGGGATATCTGTTGAAGACATTCTTGTTGCTAAATCAGAGTGCACAGGAGCCTATACTAGAATAGACAGGCTCTCCTATAAAGCACACGTCTTACTAACTTAATAATTACATCTGGCAGACACTTTCTGATTTCTAGAGTATATGGCAGGGCTTCTGATAATTGCTTTTTTTTTTAGTATCACTGTAAACCCCACAATGTTTACAGAGACCATAACTTGGTCTAGTGACAGAGACTTGAGGAATAGCTAGTCTTAATTCACAATACATTTAAAAACCAATGTTTAGGGTGCCTCACATTGATAACTAGCTTTAAACCAGTTTAACTACTTAAGATAGCCTATCCTTGCCCTCATTTCTAAATCCCAATTACCTCTTACCATATTTGTTTTGTTATAGCATTTGAAAGAAAGAATGTAACAGAGTACTGCAGAGATCTAATCAAGATCCTGAGGCAGGCAGAGGAACTGAATGAAAAACTCACTCCACTGAAACTGATTGATTCTTGGATGGGAAAGGGTGTGGCGAAATTGAGAGTAGCAGGTGTTGTGGCTCCCACACTTCCTCGTGAAGACCTGGAGAAAATTATTGCACACTTCCTAATACAGCAGTATCTTAAGTATGTATAAACCCATTTATTATCCTTTCATGCTGTCTTTATGGCTGTTCCTTTTTTAACTGGAACAGAATAAATGCTTCTGCAGTTATTTTTGTGTGAACTTTCAAATGCTACAGAAAAGAATTTACCTAAAAAACTCAAACTTTAATCACTATAAATCAAAAAAGAACAAAACTAAAATATTTTCTATACAGGTTATATTTGCATTCTTCTAAGTTTTATTATTTCAAGTCAATGTGTTACTAAAAAAATATTGCACTTAGTTATTTCTTTTATAAATTTGTTTTCTGTGATTCCTTCAAAAGCTTTCTTATTGTTGGCCTTTATTTTCTGCAGAGAAGACTACAGTTTTACAGCTTATGCTACCATTTCATATTTGAAAATAGGACCTAAAGCTAATCTTCTGAACAATGAGGCACATGCTATTACTATGCAGGTGACGAAGTCCACACAGAACTCTTTCAGGGTAACTGGCTATTAATTTTCAGTTTTATGTATTTTTAAAAATATATTGAAGCCTATGGGATGCTTTTCTGTCATATCCCCCTAGGTCCAGTTGAACATAGGGAAAGTCAGTTTTCTGATTAGATTTCTGGGTATGGAAGAGAGAAAACTAGGGGTTTCCCATCTCTTGGAATGTGAGGACTCCATTTTAGTATCTAATTTTGTTATGCACTCTGCTCTTATGGTATTGGTTGTGATTACTAATAGTTGAGAAGTCTGTTTCTGCTCTTCCATTGGTTAAAAACCACTGTTATAAACCAAATACTATCAAGTCTGCAAAAGCATGTCAGGTGCCATTGTGTCTAAGGATATTTGAGGTCTTTAGAACTTCTCTCACAGTGTAGCCTCTTTTATTCAAAATAGAGCTCATATTTGAATAGAAATTTGTAGGTAAAAAAACAAGACCCCTTGATACTTAAAAAGCCAACTGATAAAGAATATTTTGAAATTTTTAATCTCATGAAAAACTGAATAGCTGAATTTTTACCGAAGTGCTTGCTTTGTTATTTTTTTTTTGTAGGTTGAATCATCTCAAACTTGTCATTCTGAACAAGGTGATAAAAAGATGGAGAAAAAACATTCAGGTAACTTCCAGAAGAAGCCTGCAAACATGCTTCAGCAATCTGGTTCTAAGCATACAGGAGCTAAGAAAAGAAAAATGGATGATGCCTGAAGTGAATGTTACCAGATTTTCTAATTAAAGATGTTTATGCATGTATACGCCATTATTTTTGTAGTTAGACAAAAGCTTCATTTTAAAAACCATTTCATTGATATTTTATAGATATGTATCTATATTTTCAGAGTTTATCTCTGAAGATTTAAACTTTTGAGAACTTTTGAAAATTAGAGATCATGAATTATATAATTTTCCAGTATAAAACAAGGGGAAAAAAATCTTATGTAAAACCCTTTAAAAGTAAAATATTTGAGAATAAGTTCATATAATTTTTTATGCCTTTATATATTAGCTGTATTTTTTCTTTTTATATAACTATCTTTTTGAAAGCAATATTATACTGACAGAGGCTCATTAAACGTGAATGATACTTTTAAGTTGAATATGTAGATCAGGGATGTCCATTATTTTGGCTTCCCTGGGCCATACTGGAAGAAGAAGAATTGTCTTGGGCCTGCTTAAAATATGCTAACACTAATGACAGCTGATGCACTTAAAAAAAAGTTTCAAGAAAATCTCACGTTTTAACAAAGTTTATACATTTGTGTTGGGCTGCATTCAGAGCTGTCCTGGGCTATATTAGGCTTGTGGGCTATGAGTTGGACAAGCTTGATGTAGATGATTTCAGGTTATAAAACCAGAAGTACAATTCAAACAAAAAAGGAGTAAGTCATCAATATAAAATGTTAGCAAAACACAGAAATAAACAACTTAAGACTTTTTATCTAAGCAGTCAGTGTTGTGTTGGAAAGATATATCTATAAATAAATTATTTGAACTGATTTCACTTAGAATTTGTTCTTATACTTTTCCATTAATATCATTTTCACTTCTGTAATTTTCAGTGTGGTCAGCATTAACTCAATGCACTCATTCATTTTATTGACTTGTGATTGTTTTGGTGTCATTTGGAACATTATACGATACTTGAAGAAATTCTATTTTCAGTCAAAATAATCTTCTATATCAATATTTGGATCTAGCAGATCTTCTCCATATGATGAAAGATTCATTTGGTTTAAAATTAGGTTTTCAAATGTTTCTTCTAAATCAGTTTCACCAATTAAGACAGCTCCCATCATTCGTCCATTTTGCATGACGACTTTGATGTATTCTTGTCCTTTGGTACATCTCAGCATTAATTCATGATCTGAACCTAAGCCCTGTGCGTTGTATTTTCCCAGCAGTACAACCTATATATAAGGATAAAAAGGTTATTGTCATGAGTATCAAAAGAAAATGTAATGTGTATTTTGTGTCATGTTAGAATAGTCAGCAGAAAAATTATGCCACAAAATTTTATAACTAAAAATGTTATTAGGGAGAGTCCCAAAGACAATGTTTGAATAGCATGCATTAATTCTACCAATGACATTACCACACAATCTACACCGACATTAAAAAATTCTTATGAATATAGTCAAATATTAATGTTTAATATTTTTAACACAAAAAATGTCTAGTGAATAGCTAGGTGATACTACCTATCTATAGGAACATGAAAACTATATAGTGAATATATAAATATGTAGGAGGTAGACTACATTATCCTGGAGTCATGGTTTAAACATTTAGCAAGGAACTGAATTAGATCTTCCACGGAGTACTTAATTTCCTTGAGCCTTATGAATATGTTTCTCCTTCTTTGTAAATTAGGGGAAAAGAAAAACTAACAACAAAAAAACCCCAAACCACCTTCACAAAATAATGTAAAGAGGACCGAATAAGATAACACATACAGGAAAGCACTTGGTTTATTTTTGAGTACAATAGCTGTTAGTTCCCTTCACAAAGAAAGGATGAATCACAAGTAAAAGTTAAAAATGCACCAACAGCGAACAAATCTGGAGATAAATTTTTTTCCCTCTTAGCTAAAATAGCATAGTGGTAAGGTGGATAATTATCAGATGATTAGGGATTCAGACTAGCAATAATACCAGTATTGGTTTGTGAGAAATGAAAAATGTCATTTTTGGGGGATATTTTTTGTATATATATATATATATATATATATATATATATATATATATATAAATATATCATGTATGTTTTTATTCAAATGAGATAATTAGATGATCTATCATAGTCATAAGACTAGCAAGCAGAGAAGGCATTAATATGCTATCTTACCTTATAGTTAAAAAATTTTGTCACATGAGCAAACAGTTCAAAGCTGAAATCCATGTCAATAGAGTCTCCTGAACTCGCTGCAGCCATGCACTTGGCTGCATACCATCCCATTTGTCTAGCCTGGGTCCACAGCCTCATCTGAAACAAAGAAAAAATGTTTTACAATGTCATTTTTCATATCATTATTTGAAAAATGTTATCTTAACCTTGTAAATTCACTTAAAGGAGTTAAATGACAGTCTGTCATCTTTGCCACAGAAGCAGTCACCAATGGACAACTAATCAGACTAACTTTTGGGTATTTATTAATTATATCTAAATTACTGCCTCTAAATTTAAAAGATGATACCAATCATACCTGTTTTAGTAGCATTTCTATTAAATACTATGAAACTATATTAAGCTATACCAGGTGAGAAAAAATGTTTAGTTAACCAGTCCCTTCTTCAAAGTTTGTCATCACCATTAATAGAGAGGTCAAATTATCACTGAAGAACTTGTTCTATTTTTTAGCAACCTTCATTCTTATGCACACATTAAGGTCTGCCATGCTGTTAACCTCAGTGGTCAGATTGTTGGTGCCTCACCCCAAGACAACATATATATTTCAGCAACTGACTCTGGGAAGTCATTTAAATTCTTTTGTATGACAGGATTAATTTATCCTCTATTGTATTTTTATTTAATTTCTACAGTTGTGAGACTCCCTGGTATAAAAGAACACTGACCTTGGGAGTCACAGTGGATTTGAGTATCAACTTATCTGCATGTATAACTTTTCTGAGCCTCGGTTCATTTACCTGAGACATAAACATAATACTACCTACTCTGTAACTACTGAGAGAACTAAATAGGTTAGCCTATAGTAAGCACTTGGTTTCCTTCTACCTCTGTGTGTGCATATGTCCCTAACCCTAATGCTGCCTTTTGTTTGCAGGAATAATGTCATAATCATGGACATAGGCTTTAAGCATTTCTAGCAGAAGTGATGTAGTTTTTTTTTTCAATCTCTGTAAACAAGGTATTATAGATTTGATGAAATGAAAGGCAGTTTATGGCAAGGGATCAAAATAAACTAAGCATAGTAACAACTAGAGAACAGCTAATAGGAGTGGCCTGAAAGTGTACATCTTGGACTGCATAAACTAACTAGTATCCTTATTGCTTGTGTAAGCTAAGAAATGGGGTCTATAAAGTATACTCAAAACAAGGGACACCTGTTTATTTTCAGATTTTTTTTCTCTCTTTCAGAATGTAACACATTAAAATATAATTACCCTAGAAAATTAAAAATGTTAAAAAAAACACACACAAACTCCAACTCTTAAGAATTTGTGATACTCTTGCCACAGAAATGACACAGAATGAGGCAGGTTAGAAACAAAAAGGGTGGAACCACTCTCTTATTATTGATGTCTCTACTGTGTGTAAGAACACAAAATGATGGTGCTGCCTCTTGAAATACTTTTAGCTCTTCTACTGCTTCACACTGCATAATCTGAATGAATAATGTCCCTAACTGTGGAGCTAGTGTTTTAACAAAGATAAATGTTGATGGGTTCCTTGATCTCAAACATCTACCTAGGTCTCTAGGTCTCTGCCCCTCCTCACACTTCTGGTCACTGTCTTTATCTTCCTCTGGTATTTTTGTTATACCATTAGAAGGAGGTAGGTAAAGCTGTGAGGATAGGGAAAAGTCTAGAGCCAGTTGGGACTTGTTACAGCTCAGGAAAGGCGTTTACTATAGGAATTTTTTTTTTTTTTTGAGACAGAGTTTTGCTCTTGTTGCCCAGGCTGGAGTGCAGTGGCACGATCTTGGCTCACTGCAACCTCCACCTCCCAGGTTCAAGCGATTCTCCTGCCTGAGCCACCTGAGTAGCTGGGATTACAGGCATGTACCACCACGCCCAGCTGATTTTTTGTATTTTTTTAGTAGAGATGAGGTTTCATCATGTTGGCCAGGCTGGTCTCGAACTCCTGACCTCAGGTGATCCACCTGCCTTGTCCTCCCAAAGTGCTAGGATTACAGGTGCGAACCACTGCACCCAGCCAGGAACACTTTTTAGTAATAATTACCACATGGACAGAATAGGATCATCCAGGAATAGAAGGCTTTATATAATTTACAATCTTAGTAGTTTTGTTTCTTAATCTAAAGTTGTGCTGTCCACCATGGTATTGGACACTAGCCACATATAGCTATTTAAAGCTAATGAAAAGTAAGTAAAAATAAAAATTCAGTTCCTCGGTCACATTAACCACATTTCAAGTGCTCATGTGATATACTGCTGGCTACCTGATTGGATGGTACAGAATTACACATTTCCATCATCACAGAAAGTTCTATTAGTGCTGATAAGCATATCAGAATGAAAAAGTAATAACCTATATATTTGTTTAAATTGAAAGATATCCCAGTCTACCATTATAATAATAAATTACCAAACAGGGAAAATTCTAGTGTTTTTTTTTTTTTTTTAATATATATAACAACTCTGTGCTAGCTTCCTACTTAGCAGAAGTGCTGGAAAACCAGAAGTTGGATATATTAATAACAACCGCTTTATTTTCAGACAGAATCTCTGATAAAAACATATGGTCACATATGCTAGCTTACCTGCTGCCAGACTGGGCTCAGCTGCCAGGATGCAGTACAGATGTCACCAGCAGCATAGACATCAGGAAGGGATGTGTGCATATGATCATCCACTTTCAGGCCACCGTCTTCTCCTAGATCAAACTAAACAATGTTCCTCATTAACATAAATGTTAAGAAAAATGAAACGTGATTTTTTCATTCTAAAGTAAAAGAGCAAATTTTTACACTTTAGCATGCTCATCTTTAATCAGAAAATGAAAAATAGCTGCAAAGTTTACACACCTAAGCTGAATTTCCGTGTATCAAATTCCAACTAAGATTGACTCATAAAATTCTTAGAATTTCAACATGACAAGCATCCAATAACCATTTGACTACTCGACCCATAACCAAAAGAACATTCTTTTTTTTTGCAAGCATTAAGTGCTGAAAACCAAAAAATACAAGATGGTTTCTCTAAAAGAATCACGTAAGAAGTGGGAGGTGTCAGTCTCTCACCAACATTTAGATAAGTAAGTTGTACACTATGAACCATTACTATGACACTTATACCAGGATGCAACTATGTAAGGATTTTAAGCAGTAAAAAATACTGTAAATCAAGACAATGTTATAACCAAATTGTTTTCGACCATGTGAAGTTACAGTTGTATACTAAAATAATAATTATTGTTTGAGAACTAGAGATCTTCACAAAAATACTTCAAAAATATTCGTAGCTGGATGAAAATTTCACCTTACACTGTTACCATGGAGAAAAGGTTCTACATTTGGTGTGACTCCTGTAGCACTGACAATGAAATCGCAGCCATATATATTTTCATTGGTCAATTCCACATACACAGGCCATATCTCTTTAAGAAAAAAATAAAACAAAAAAAGACGATTTTTAAATAGAACCACCACCACAGCAGTGTATATGACTACAATGATTAGAAACAAAGACAGAAAAAGGAAGGCAAGAGATGACTTTGTAACACACTCATTACTTTTTATGAGGCCTATTTGCTAAAGCAATTTTAATGCAATTAGCATCATCTCGTTTGGGTATAATTTTAAAACCATGGCATTTTAAATGTTTTTCGTTCAAATTTGGACACATAAATTTTGACAAAGTAATTTAAATTGTTTCTAAATTATCTGTCTAAAAATCCTTAGTAATACTTTACACTCTACTTAGTGTTTAGTTCAACTAGGTGTTTTCCCTCACTATTCATACTCAAACTCCCCTTTCCTATGGAAAAACGTCGAAGAATTCAGTACAGTAGAGTATTTCATATGCGAGTTAGCTGAGTGTATTTCTTCAAATTATGATAATTCTTAGAGGAGTTGTGGAATTGGAATTAGGAGAGCTGCCTGGACTAAAATACACATTTCAATCTGTTTGATTTGGGTGAAATCATTTAGGAGCTTTAGGTTTTTGTTTCATTTTGATGTGCAATCTAGTCTGATTGTTGTTCAAAACACTATGATCTCTCTGTAAGATGTAATGCCCTATACAGTTAAATTTACTAGAAAACAACACAGTGAAAAGAAGTGACTTAATACTATTAAATTATGGTTTTATTTTTACTTTTCATGTTTAAATTTTATATGGAAATCTAAAGTTATTTTTAACATAACACAGCAAAATTAAATTGCTTTGCTTTTAATTAAGTGGTTATATATACATTTTTTATTTCATTACTTGCCTGTATCAGTTGTAACTGACTTATGGTCTCCTGGAAAAGTGAAGGACTTTTTCTTCAAAATTCTAAACTCATCCTGAGGGTAGATTTTCTTTACTTCACACATAGTTTCAATGTGAATCTTACGAGAAAACTAAAATTAAAAAAACACTGGTTAGCATAATACTTCCAGAAAGAATGACCTGGGTTACTAATGATGAAGAAAAAACTTGTAGAAACATATGGAAAACACATTGGGTGCCCTAAAATAAATAAATCTATGCACATGAAAGGAGTGAACAGAAATTCATTCAGTCACCTAAGAGATTTGGTAGCTGCATTAGCAGATAGCATGGAGGGAATGCTTTTTAGCTTAGGCTTCATTGATAATTACAAGTGTATTCTTTAAAAATTACAATAGTTGCTGGGCACAGTGACTCACACCTATAATCCCAGGACTTTGGGAGGCCGAGGCAGGTGGATCACCTGAAGTCAGGAGTTTGAGACCAGCCTGACCAATATGGTGATAACTCGTCTCTAATAAAATTACAAAAATTAGCCAGGCCTGGTGGTATGTACCTATAGTCCCAGCTACTCAGGAGGCTGAGGCAGGAGAATTGCTTGATCCAGGGAGGCAGAGGTTGCAGTGAGCCGAGATCGCATCACTGCACTGCAGCCTGGGCAACAGAGCAAGACTCTGTCTCAAAAAAAATATTTACAATAGTTATGGACTATAATAACTTATTCAAGGCAGATCTGTCTTGACTTACTGTTATATCCCTGAACATTAATAAAGTGCCAGGTAGGTAGTAAATACTCAATAAATGCTTACTGAATTAAACTGTTGAAGTTCTCAGTTTAAAAATATAATTACATTTAGGATCTGAAGGTACACAAAGAAGGGACTCTGCATAATTTCCATCACAAAAATTAGATACTCCACGCAGCCAGCCTCACTCCCACCTACCAAAAGTCTAAACCAATGCTTTAAAGAAATCACACACAGTAATGAAGGACTGCATGCCTGCTTCTTACAACATTTAGATTTCACAGCCTTGTAACAACTATTAAAAAATCAAAATATCTAACAAAATGAGGAAAAGCAAATCATCTCCTTATCCAATTAGGATATTAAGTGTATACCATAATCCATCTAATAATTTATAAGTTTACTGCATGCATCTAAAGTGACCTTTAAGAAAAGATTAAAAGAGGACAGGTGTATTCACTGTAGTCTGGGTATAGAGATCTCTATCCCTGGTCAGAGGATACCGGAAAAAACAAACTCAGTTTCTCCTACTATACTCTCACAACACGGAATACTTCTGTGACCAAATGTGTATGTGAGTGTTTTCTACACACTAAGCAAGCAAGCAATTCAGCACAGGACACCATCTGGGTGTCCTCTAATTCAATTTACTTCTGATGTTATTATCTACTTGGAGATAGCATCAGGTCCCCTATGTTGAGGGATCAATCTCAGAAGACTATCCTCCACTTCCAATACCAATTGTAAGCCCCAGGTGTTTTACCAGTTGGTCTGACTAACCCATCTATAAATCAAGGGGCTCCCATGAGCCCCTTTCTTGGGTTCAATTAATTTATTAGAATGTCTCACAGAATTCGAGGAAACTTACTTACATTTACTGGTTGATTATCAAGGTTGTAACAAAGGAAAATGAAATACATAGGGCAAAGCATGTAAGAAGGGGCAGGGAGCTTCTATGCCCTCTCCAGATACACCACCCTCTAGCAACTTCCACACGTTCAACTATCTGGAAGCTCTCCAAACCCAGTCCTTTTGGGTTTTCATGGAAACTTCGTTATGTAGGTGACTGATTAAATCACTGGCTGCTAGTGATTGGCTTAACCTTCAACCCCTTTCCCTTCCAGGAGGTTGAAGTCTAAATTCTTTTAATCATGCCTTGGTCTTTCCTGTGACCAATCCCCATTCTGAAGCTACCTAGGGTTAGTCCCTAGCATAAAAAGGACACATCACTTCAGAGATGCCAAAAATATTAGGAATTGTGCGCCAGAAAACTGGGACAAAGACCAAATACAGGCACAATATTTTATTGTGCTTCACTTTATGGTGTTTTGCAGACAGTGTGTTTTTTACAAATTGAAGGTTCGTGACAACCCAACATCAAGCAAGTCTCAGTGCCATTTTTCCAATAGCATGTGCTCACTTTGTGCCTCTGTCACATTTTGATAGTTCTTGCAATATTTCAAAGCTTTCATCATTATTAGACCTTTAAGTGATCTGTGATTAGTAATCTTGGATGTACTATTAAGGGAAGGTGTTCTCTTCCAGGGTTCACAAGGGGGCGTAGTTTTAAATGCAAAAATTTTCCAGTGCTATGCCATGCCCCGCTCCCATTTCTCCCCATCCATGATATTTAACGGTTTATGTTTAAATTTCACGAGCACGGGAAAAAAACTAAAAGTCAATCACTCCAGCAAAAGTTCTAAAAAACTCCTTTTATTAGCCAGGGGTCTTAAAGAAGGTGGGGGTTCCTCCCAGGTTAAAAGTCCTCTTCTTCCACGGCCCTTCGGACTCCATGTTTGGGTCCCTGTCCGGGAACACTCTCATGCTTGTGGAAGCTGTTCTCTATCCTAAATTTTTCCTCTGGAGTCCCCTTCAAACACTCTCTCGTGAAAGCCTGTCTTCCCTCCTAAACTCCATCTCTCTCTATTCCCTTCCACTCAGGGTGGAAGCTGCTTTCCTCTCCTGGATTCTATCTTTCTGGATTCTCTCACTCAGTGTGAGAGTTAGCTGTTTATTTCTCTCTCCTCCGGTTTTTTCTCTCTATAAATAAATCACTTTCTACAAACACTTTTAAGTCCGGCATTTACTGCGCACTGTGCTGTGGTCCCCTCTCTCATTCTTGAGAGGGTAGAAAACCAAGAACCCGGAAAAACGTCCTCTTAGGGGAGCTAAGGGCACCCTGAACCCCTAAACCCCAATATTACGCTATTGTAATTGACTTGGGGTATCATGAACCACACACATGTAACACAGTGGACTTAATCGATAAATGTTCTGTGATCTGACTACTCCCATCAACCAGCTGTTGTCCTGTCTCTCCCTCTCCTTGGGCCTCCTTATTCCCGGAGACACAATAATACTGAAGGCAGGGCAATCAGTTACTCTGTAGTGGCCTCTAAGTGTTCAAGTGAAAGGATCACACATCTCTCACTTTAAATCAAAGCTAGAAATGATTACTAGGCTTACTGAGGAAGGCACATGGAAAGCCAGGCCTCTTACACCAAATGATTGACCAAATTGTGAATGCAAAGATACATTCTTGAAGTGACTTTAAAGTGCTATTCCAATGAACACATGAATGATTAGAAAGTGAAACAGGGCCGGGCGCGGTGGCTCACGCCTGTAATCCCAGCACTTTGGGAGGCCGAGGCAGGCGGATCACAAGGTCAAGAGATTGAGACCATCCAGGTCAACATGGTGAAACCCCATCTCTACTAAAAAAATACAAAAAATTAGCTGGGCATGGTGGCACGTGCCTGTAATCCCAGCTACTCAGGAGGCTGAGGCAGGAGAATTGCCTGAGCCCAGGAGGCGGAGGTTGCGGTGAGCCGAGATTGCGCCATTGCACTCCAGCCTGGGTAACAAGAGCGAAACTCCGTCTCAAAAAAAAAAAAAAAAAGCGAAACAGCATTATTGTTGATATGGAGAAAGTTTTAGGGGTGTGGAGAGATCAAACCAGCCAAAACATTCCCTTAAGCCAAAGCCTAGCCCAGAGTAAGCCCCTAACTGTTTTCGATTCTGTAAAGGCTGAGAGAAGTGAGGAAGCTGCAGAAGAAAAGGCTGAAGCTAGTGGAGGTTGGTTCATGAGGTTTAAGAAGCTATCTCTACAACAAAAAAAATACAATTGATAATTGATGAATGTGGCTATACTAAATAGATTTTCAGTATACATGAAACAGCCTTCTAGTGGAAGAAGATGCTATCTAGGACCTTCATAGCTATAGAGAAAAAGTCAATGCCTGGCTTCAAAGGACAGGCAGACTCTCCTGTTAGGGGATAATGTAATTGGTGACTTGAAGTTGAAGCCAATGCTCATTTACCATTGTGAAAGTCCTAGGGCCCTTAGGAACTATCCTACATCTACCCGGCCTGTCCTCTATAAATGGAACAACAAAGCCTGGATGACATCATGATATGATTTGGGTCGTGTCTCAGCCCAAATCTCTTGTCAAATTATAATCCCCAATGTTGGAAGTAAGGCCTGGTGCGAGATGTTTGGGTCATGGGGACAGTTTCTAATGGTTTAGCACCATCCCCCTAGTGCTGTTCTCATGAAAAGAGTTCTCATGAGATCTGGTTGTTTAAATATGTGTGGCACCAACCCCCTTCTTTCTCTTCCCCCTGCTCCAGCCATGTAAGATGTGCATACTTTGCCTTCCACTGTGACTGAAGTTTACGGAGGCTGCCCCAGCGATGCTTCCTATACAGCCTGTAAAAACATGAGCCAATTAAACCTCTTTTCTTTATAAATATTACCCACTCTCAGGTGTTTCTTTATAGTAGTGTGAAAATTGACTAATACACAGCACATCTGTTTACATGGTTTATTGAATATTTGAAGCCCACTGTTGAGACCTACTGCTCAGAAAAAAAAGATTCCTTTCAAAATATTACACTCATTGACAAGGCACTCGGTCACCCAAGAACTCTGGCAGAGATGCACAAGGAGATGAATGTTGTTTTCATAGCTACTAATACAATATCCATTCTGCAGCCCATGGATCCAAGAGTTATTCTTACTTTCAAGTCTTACTAAAGGAAATGCATTTCATAAGGCTATAGCTGCCACAGATAGTGATACAGCGGATGGATCTGGGAGAAGTACACTGAAATACACTGAAAACCTTCTGGAAAGAATTTACCATTCTCGATGTTATTAAGAACATTCATGATTCAAGGAAAGAGATAAAAATATCAACATTAACAAGAGTTTGAAAGAAGTATATTCCAATCTTCATGGATGACTTCGAGAGGTTCAAGATTTCAATGGAGAAAGGCAGATATGGTGGAAATCACAAAAGAACTATAATTAGAAGTAATCCTGAAGATGAGACTACATTGCTGTAATCTCATGATAAAACTTGAAACGATGAGTTGTTTCTCATGGATGAGCAAAGAATGTAGTTATTTGAGATGGAGTTTACCTTTGGTGAATATGCTATGAGTATCACTGAAATGATAAAGGATTTCAAATATTACATAAACTTAGTTGGTAAAGCAGTAGCAGAGTTTGAAAGAACTGACTAATTTTGAAAGAACTTCTACTGTGGTTAAAATGCTATCAAACAGCTTCGCATGCTACAGAGAAATCTTTCCTGAGAGGAAGAGTCAATTGATGGAGCAAACTTCACTGTTATTGATTGATTGATTGATGGAGATGGAGTCTCCCTCTGTTGCCCAGGCTGGAGTGCAATGGTATAATCTTGGCTCATTGCAACTTCTGCCTCCTGGGTTCAAATGATTCTCCTGCCTCAGCCTCCTGAGTAGCTGAAAGTACAAGCAGTGTGCCACCATGCACAGCTAATTTTTGTATTTTTAGTAGACCCAGGGTTTCACCATATTGGCCAGGCTGGTCTTGAATGCCTGACCTCGTGATCTGCGCACTTTGGCCTCCCCAAAGTGCTGGAATTACAGGTGTGAGCCACCACACCCAGCCTAAACTTCATTATTTTAAGAAATTGCTCCAGCCACCGAAACCTTCAGCAAACACCACCGTGATCAGTCATCAGCCACCAATACTGAGGCAAAACTTTCCACCAACAAAAAAATTATGATTTGCTAAAGGCTCAGATGATTTTTAGCATATTTAGCAATAAAATATCTTTAAATGTGCGTTTTTTCAGACATAATGCTAATGCACATTTAATAGACTATAGTAGGTTATAAACCTAACTTTTATATGCACTAGGAAACTGAAAAATTCATGTGGCTCACTTTATTGTGATATTTTATTTCCTGTCATGGTCAGGGACTGAACCTGCAATATCTTCAAGGTATGACTGTATATATATATATAGCAATATCACCCCTCATGAGTTAAAACATAGGCTGAGATCCAGTCTTCGATGTTTTGACATTCAGTTTTCTTTGGTGGCCAAATGGACCAAGTGGATGGGAAGTCTTTTCCTAGCACTATGGATTTTAAGTAAAGTGACCTAACAGTTCGTGGACCACCTATTTATAACCGGTCTTTAATAAAAGGCTCAAGAATTGAAAATTACATTTATACATGTTCAATCACTATTATGAAGAGATACCTGTTTTGTTCCTTTAAGATTCAAGCCTTCATGCCAATCTGGTCCCAACGCACTACCTACATTATCTGCTTTAGATTTGCTTCTGGCTTCCTTTTTCCTTCCTAAAGAGATGAAATTAAATAATATAAAAATTACCAGGCAGAGAATTATGTCAGTGTTCAAGTTTTTATTTAGGTAATGTAATGATTCACATATATACATATATTACAGCATGGCTAACTTATGTTATCTATATTAATCATTTTAGTCATTATTTTAATATTTTTCTGATGTAGAGTTACAAATAGATAATCTTTCAATTGTGTGCTGAGTATAAGCACACTCAATTTATGTTTTGGATATGTTACACCAGATAATCTGAAAGATAAGAAAATTAGCCTTTGAATTTTAATAATTTTGTCAATTATTAGCACCTCCAAAATGTACAAAACTCTTGCTTAATTTTATAATCTAAAAGCTTTTTAAGCTATCAAACTTAAAAAATATGACGTCTGTATTAGCTTTTCAACTCACTGCATTTTTTCCAAAACTACTTTAGGTGTTGCCCAAATGTAGCATCTGTTTGCAAAGATGCAGATGTGCTGAGTTATTCAATTTCATTTTAAATTTCTTGTTTTAATTCTATATATAAAATACATATACATATATAAATATATATAAAATAGAAAATCTGAAAACTTCATGTAAAGATACATAAATATCCATATTACTATCTCCAAAATTTATTTTATTAAATTTTCTTATAGCCCTTTTCTATACTGTAAAAAAAAAAAAATGTTTGTATGAGAATTAATGAGGTAGGTGCTACACTTACCTTCAGTTGTATATCTGGTTCTTTTATGTGCAATTTTAGCCTCTGATTTTTCAGAAATGAGCTTTGCAGTCAAGAATTCAGCTGCTCCTGCATCGAAGAAAGTATTCCCTATAGCTTTATCTTTAATGGCCCAAATCACTTCACAGCCTTCAATTTCATATCTAAAAACAATACCAAAGTTACTAACAGTAATTTCAAAAGTCTAAGTAAAAAATCTTTGCATTTGCAAATAATGATCTCCTGAAGCAAAATAAGGAACACATTTTTAAGGCAAATTGGGAAAGACTGATTATAAAGAGCAATATAATATTCTTTAAAGATACTAAGAATTAAAAACAGAATAGTAAAAGAAGAAACTGAAGCAGTTTACAAAGGTTCTGTAGAAAGAACCTTTAAGTGACAAATATAGGTATTGAATATCAAGTAAAATTTCATTACAATGAACATCATTAGAAAATGTTCAACTTCTACAACATAGTTATTACATGAATGATCCCTAGGGCTCCCAGGGTTAAGCAGTGCTTTTTAGAAAATCTGTTACAGTATAATCAATAATGGATGAATAATACACAGCTATAATATTAAGATCAGTCACTTATTTGGTAAGAATGTTTTGTATCTTCAAAGCACATTATGAAAGGGGACAGAAAATGGAGAGAACTCGAGTTAGAAGCTAAAAATCTTAAGGATCAAGATTAATGACCTTAGAGGAAAGAAGGAATGGACATGGTATATAAGCCACCTTCTATTAGTATTTACCACTAATATAAGGTAATGGACAAGTGATATTTTATTCTAGGTTTAGATACCGGTAAGTGGTTTTCCTAACAATATTCATTTCACAAAGTCCCTGAAATCCATTATAATTAAGGTGGTCACATAATTTATCATCCCACCTGGGATACTATCCGCTATTAATAATCATTTTTTGTACAACTGGTGGAAATGGGGACAATCCCAGACAAACAAGATATATGGCCATCCCAACTATAATAGGATTTTATCTAAATTTGCAATACTATAAAATACTATAATTTAAAAATTAAGGTATTAATTTTTCACATTTCTTTATGATACAAAGTATTGCCATTTTTATTTCACAGATTGATATAATTCATAAATGAATTATAGAAAAAAAAGTTTAGTACATCTGAATCCAGATCACGTGAAACTCATACTTTTCAACATACGGTGATAGGAGCTCCTTGCTTCATCTAATAAGTTTTTATTCTTCCAGGTCTCCTATGCCAGTAAACATTTAGTCACCAAATTTCAGATTATTGGGTAAACATTCTATTTTATGTTACTCTGGTCATATAGCATTATTGACCAATGCAAAGTAGAATACACACTAATTTGGTAATAAAGTTTGTAGTTCAGTTTACACACTGGCATACAGTTATGTAATCCTTTCTTTTTTTATAAACTGGGAATTTCTTTACATCACCATTTTTATATTTAAAGTAAAAAAAGGAAACGAAACAAAAATATATATATATATTTAAAGTAATATTACAGTATAACACCTATCAGTGCAGTTTAACATACTGATGACTGACTAGAAGACAAAGTTATTACAAGTAACCACATGTAACTTCAGTATTTGCTCTACCTCCTAGGACACCCTCTAATCCTCTTTTACTAACTTGAACTATTCTCTTAGCAATATGCACAAGTTTGAAGATTATCATCACACACAGATGGGAAATACTGCTTTCATTTTTAAAATGACTACAAAAACAGACAATGAGGTATCACAGTTTTGTGAAGTTATGAAATAAGGTATGTGTTTGAAAAGGAAACGATTAACTTATACTTAGAAAAAAGAAAACAGACCAGGCGCGGTGGCTCGCACCTGTAATCCCTGCACTTTGGGAGGCCGAGGAGGGCAGATCACAAGGTCAGGAGTTCAAGACCAGCCTGACCAAAATAGTGAAACTCTGTCTCTACTTAAAATACAAAAGTTAGCCGGGGGTCATGGCATGCTCCTGTAATCCCAGCTAATTCAGGAGGCTGAGGTAGGAGAATTGCTTGAACCCGGGAGGTGGAGGCTGCAGCGAGCCACGATCATGCCACTACACTCCAGCTTGGACAAGAGAGTGAGACTCCATCTCAAAAAAAAAAGAAAGAAGAAAACAGATAATAACTGAGATAAATGTATAACGAAGAACACTAGTATTAGTTTCACTGAAACACAGGGTAGAAAGGGTATAGGTATGCCAAGTTTCATGACAGACAAAGACCTAATCATTCAGTGGACCTAACCTCAGAAAATAACATTATGTGGATCCGTTTTTAATTACCAAAGGAGAGCTTACTAAATATAAAATTACGAGTTTTATCCAATTATACAGTCTTCAATCTCCAACTTAAAATGAGGAATAAGATTAAATGTTGTAAGACTCTAAACATTTTTTAACATAAAATTTTTACATGTAAATAAGTCATAATAATAGTTAAGTGATTCTTTGGTGATAGCTGATGGAGAACATGCCATGTATATATTATACACAAGGATTTGAATGAAGCCTCATTTAAAATAAATCTTTACCTCTCCCTTCTTGGCCACATTTTGGTTTTGACTCTTTCTCTGCATTTCTCTGTACAATGCCACAAACTTCATAATAACAGTGACTGTTACCCATAGTACTCAGGCAATTTAAGAACTCTTACAGGCTTCTACTGGGACAGATGATTCTCTAAAAGAGTGGCAAAAACCTAGTCTGAGAGCTGGAACGAATGCAAGTGAGCAAAGATATGGCTTTAGCAGAGTCCGTATTTTAATTCAAATTTGTCCTCTTTGTGGTTTAACCCAATTTTATGGCCTGAGAAAGATCCAGACTATTTCAGGTCAATCATCTGCTAGAGGGTAAAATCATAAAGTGAATCAATCTTCTGCAGGCCATAATGGGATATTTCTCAATGGTTTTTGAACTTGTAATGTCATCTTAAGATGAAAATGTTTCATATTAATTAATGTGCTCACATTCCCCAAGCTTCCAAAAACCAAGAGCTGAAGAAGCACATATCCTAAAACAGGAGTCATAAACATTTTGGGTTATATTGGCCAGACAGGTAAAATAAACGAGTGAAGCAAGATTTACCATATAAGTAATAAAAAGTGGTGAAGGCTATCACTAGAAATCTCAAAAGGTATAAATATTTAAATTATTTTAAAACACAGAATATACTTATAAAACACATTTATGGGCCAAATTTGGCCAGCCACTTTGAGACCTAAAGGATTCCCAAAACATTTTTATTTTATAATAAAATTTCTACAATTATGAATTCCACAAGAGCTAAAAAAAAAAAAAAAGGTGGATTTTTTCCCCCTTGAAAACATATGAAATTATATTTATCTTTGATTTTTGGAATAAAAAAACATTTCCTAGTCTGTCAATAATCACATGAATCACAAAGCAATTGCTAAATTTAAAAACAAATTATTTTAAAACAATTTAAATGTTATCATATTTAAAAATGTATACTTACGCTAACTCAAGTGCAATACCACCGTTCCCTATGATCATTATTCTTTTAGCTTTAGTAAGCTGTTTCTGAAATTCCTATATTAGAAAGAAAATAATGAGGTATTTTTTTGTAATAGTGGGTAATATCTGAAATAAGAGGCTTCAATGATAATATTCTAAAAGTCTAAATATTTTATTAAATTTATAAAGGAAAAAAAGATAAAATCTCACTTTCCCACTCTACCAGGGTACATCCTCCCAATTAATATTACAAAAGTTCCCCTTTATGTTTTATTCCAAGCTGCCTTTATAGCTGTCCCTCTCCTGATTTTCCTTTCCTTTTAGGTCATTACATTTAGAGTACTTCAGAATTTCAGTAGGAGGCAATATTAACTTACCACATTCCCAACTATTTGACCAAATCAATTAGTCTTTCTTTTCACCTAGACACTCAGTTTCCCCAGAGTTACTCAACACTTAAAACTTTTAGGAATGAGAAGCTCAGCAGCATAGTTGTTAAAAGCAGACTCTGGAAGCACTGGCTTAAGCAATTACTAACTGAATGACTTTGGGCAAGTTGCTTACCCTATCTGCACCTCAGGTCCTTCAACTAGAAGTGGAAATAATAACTGACTATATATCCTGATGTTTCTGTAAGGATTATGTGAAATGATACAAACAAAACTGGTAGGAGTAGCAGGCACACAATAATGTCAAACTTTTACTGAAAAAAATGTTATTAACATTCTAAGACAGCTAAATTGATGCCTCCACCCCCAAGAAAAAGGTCACAATGAGCTTGGAGAAGCCAATGGTAATTCTTCAGGCACTTTAAAAAGTATAGAATAGTCTCATTGCTTCAGAATGACATCTGAACAGAAAAATTCCCCCTGCTGCTAAGTTTCTATTAAATGTCTATTAAATTTATCTCCAAACTTATAATATTCACTGAAGTTGACTTTTTAAAAATTCTCCAAAAAAAACCAGCCAAAGTTTATTTTAGTTTGTCCTTCTTTGAAGATACTGCAATTTAAGAGAGATCTGTAAGAGCACTGGACCTACAGGTGAAAAGCACAAGCTTAAATTGTGTATCTGATAAACTTAATACCTAAATTAGTATAGATACATACTTAATCTCTCAACCTCAGTTTCCTATTTGTAAAGTGGGAGTAATAATCATCACACAGGATTATCATGAGGATTCAATGAGTTCATGTATGTAGAAGACCTAGCTGAAACAGTTATGAGCTCAATCTCTGTTAATATGAACTTAAAATGTTTACAAGAAGATAATCAAGTTCATTTAATTTCCTCTAAATTCCTAATTATTTAATTAAGAGAAGAGGTTGAAAGAACACATTATTAATTTTTCAGTATATAAAATATTATATTGATGCAAAATCATCATGTTATGAGACAGAACAACAAGCTTGAGGTTAGACACAAAATTGTGAAACCAGGAAGAGCTTCTTAGCAATAAGGGTTAATAAGCCCTGAATTAAATTACCAAAATAAGTTATATAATGCTCCAAATACAGAAGATTCACCTTATTGGGATAGTTTACCTAGGGCAGAATAAGTCAAGTGATTTTTCTGTTCTATGATTCTATCATGATGTTGTACCACAAAGATCTTTTGAATACTGTTTTTTCTTTCGGCTGGAGAATAAGATCAGTAAATTTTGAATATGTTTTACCTTTTTGGAAAAAATTGTTACATTATTTAGGTGGCATATCACATATTCCCAAAGCAGAGTAATGAATGTGTGTGTAATGTAAGTTTTAATATGCAGCACAGTCATTATATCTGGGATATCTCATAACTGATAACACATCAGCATGAACTTAAAAACAAAAAATAGTATCAACTAAAAATAAAAAAATTGCAGGAATAAAACATAACCCCTCTGAGGTTTATTAGTCATGAAACAAAAATTTCCCTTCTGCCTCATTATAGTTTAGGACCTGTAAGTGGAACACTTTAATTCAAATGTAGAAAGTCTTTCATTTCCTTCTCATGGCCAAACCCAAAATGTTACCTGAGCACTGTCTGTATCACGGATTCCTAATACATAAGGATTTCCTTCACATATCAACTTTGGTTTAGCTCCAGTACATAGGCAGAGTTTCTTATATATATGCTGATTGCCATCTTCTGTTATAATGCACTGTAAATACATCAAACAACAAAAGAAAAAGGGGACACATAATCAACATAGATACAAGTCACTTGAAATTAAAAATTCAATAAGACAAACACAAAAGATAATTTATTAAGGTTCCTCATGGTGGCATTCAATCCTTTGTTACAGCAATTACAAAACTAGGCTGAGAATACATTCTGTAATCCAGTTATTCATCATCACTTTAGGCTCATGAACCATTTTGAGAATCTTTTGGAAACTAGTCTTTCTCCCCCTGAATAAAAAGGTACATTCACACAAAGTTTTGTATTAAACTTCAGGAATCCATGTTGGTTGAAAAGGTAGTTGATCCCAGGTTAAAAACAAACTTCAAGAAATTTTTAAAGTAAGCATTCTCATTATACCTGTGACAGGTCTTGAAGATTTCTGATCTCAACGGAATTTACTGTAATAAGACCTAGTAATTCTAATAATATCGTACCTTCATATCTATTATGAGTACAGAAAAGTAGTGTGTGGTACAAGAAATTACAGTATGTCTTCTTAATCTAAAAAGACTAGAAGACTAAAAAAACAACAACCAGTATTTATATTCTTAAGTACAAATAATGACTTTACTAGCAAACCAAATGTTTTCGGGGTATATCTTATTATAAGTAAAAAAAATGTTCGTCTTTAATCATAGCATGTATTGGCTTTAAATGTATATTAATTTTCAATAACATAAATCGGTCTAAAACTACATATTGGAGATCTATTGCTTTTGTTCCTTAATAACGAGTGAAAAACTACATATAAATAGTAGCCTTTAGAAAACATTTAAACACAAATGCATGCTACTATGAGAGATGCTCAACTTTGTTCGAATGATTTAGGGGGATTAATGTTTGTGCCAAGTATTTAATTTATAAACCATGGCAAAGTGTATAATAGCACTTAATACCCAATGAGACATTTATAACCCAAATGAACTTTTCAGTTGCATAACAAATACATAAAATCAGTACTCCAGCATAGCATAATCTATATAGAAATTTTATACATTTCTTTCAGATAATCTCATTCGAATTTTATCTGACAAGAAAAACGTTAATGATAGGTACTGACTAAACTTAAAAAATAACTTGTATTTAGCTGCTGATTGCCGTCTTCCATTAGAATGCGCTGTAAATACATCAAACAATGAAAGAAAACAGCACAACAAACACAAAACCTCTTTTCGTTAACTACTGCTAAATTTTTGGCAGGAGACGTGAAAGTAAAACATACTATCTCTAATTCACTAAAAAATATAAAGGACACTTTGTCCAGACAGAAGCAAGTGACACACTCTGCATCCTCACCTCACCAGGATACTGAAGCTCCTGGGGAAGCAAAGCAAAATTTCCTAAGAACAATATGGATGGAGCGGGGAAAACCTATTGTGGCTGTGAAGGCCCTGATGCCATGTATATCAAATTGGTATCATCTGATGACCATGAATTTACTGTAAAAAGAGAACATTCATTAATATCAGGCATGATAAAAGTCATATTGAGTGGTCCAGGTCAATTTGCTGAGAATGAAACCAATGAGGTCAATTTTGGAGAGAGATTTTCATATGTGCTATCAAAAGTATGCATTTATTTTACATACAAGGTTCATTACACTAACAGCTCCACTGAGATTACCAAATTCCCAACTGCACCTGAAATTGCACTAGAACTACTGATGGCTGCAAACTTCCATGATTGTTAAATAAAAGAAATTATAATAAACTGTTAATAAAATGTAAAGGACAATGGATAATAGAAGGCAGACATGTACTGCATGTGAGATAGTTTTCAAATAGTAAGAGGAGGCACTCTGTTTTATTCAAATGCCCTAACATACAAATTCCTTCACAATCCATTTCATGTATTTTGAGAGCTCACCTTAATTTACAAAAAAAATTGACAAAGATATTCCTTGGAATATGTAATACCGCTATAAGTATTAGGAACTCATCTAATAACAGTTTCTAGTTTGGGGATTCAGACTTTTTATTTTTCCTGATAAAACTCAGTACTTTTACTTACTTTTTTTTCCTCAAATTACTTGTGTTTCAAATGTGGTATATATGTTTTATCCCTAAAGGAGATAAAACACATCTCTATGAGTTAAAATTTATAAATTAGAACTGCCTTATAGAAACAACTACAAACCTACTTCTCAACCTACCTAAAGTTCATCTGATGATACTGTAAATCATCTAACAACATCCTTTCCTGAGACCGCCTTCTTCACTCTCATGTAAGGGTCCTGCTGAATTTATAGTAGAAATCAGTCAAATCTGGCATACTTTTTACAACTAAATTGTCCCTGTCTCAGTTCAGGCCGTATATTATTTTTTTAAATCAACTTTTTAAAGTGTATTATTATTATTCTTTTTGAGACAGGATCTCACTCTGTTGCCCAGGCTGGAGTGCAGTGGCAAAATCATAGCTACATGCAACCTTGAACTCCTAGGCTCAGGTGATCTTCCCATCTCAGCCTCCCAAGGAGCTGGGACTACAAGTGCATGCGACCAAGCCTGGTTAATTTTTGTATTTTTTTTTTTGTAGAGATGAGATTTTGCTATGTTGTCCTACTTAGTTCAGATGATTTAGGGGTTGTTTGTGCCAAGTGTTTGATTTGCAAACCTTGGCAAATTGATCATAGCACTTAATACCCAATGAGACATTTATAAGCCAAATTATAGCCCAGGCTAGTGTCGAACTTCTAGGCTAAGGTAATCTGCCTGCCTTGGCCCCCCCAAAGTGCTAGGATTACAGGCATGAGCCTGTACATAATTTCCTGACCCTTTACATAATTTTCAACCATCATATCCACCTTCCAATTTGGTTGTTGGCTACCAGCCACTTGTTCTACCTCAGTTTATTCTCAACACTGCTATCAGATGTATCTTCCTTAAAAAAAAGATCAATTGGGCCGGGCGCGGTGGCTCAAGCCTGTAATCCCAGCACTTTGGGAGGCCAAGGAGGGTGGATCACAAGGTCAAGAGATCGAGACCATCCCGGTCAACATGGTGAAACCCCGTCTCTACTAAAAATATAAAAACTTAGCTGGGCATGGTGACGCGTGCCCGTAATCCTGGCTACTCGGGAGGCTGAGGCAGGAGAATTGCCTGAGCCCAGGTGGCTGAGGTTGCGGTGAGCCAAGATTGCGCCATTGCACTCCAGCCTGGGTAACAAGAGGGAAACTCCATCTCAAAAAAAAAAAAAAAAAAAAGATCAATTTTATCACTGATGCCCCCTCTTAAAATCACCTTACAATTTCTCCCAAATATAAAACAAAAATAGTATGACATGAAAAACCCTTCAGGATCTAATTTACTTATCTTCTAGCCTTGATTGCCAATCTCCTTTACTTAACCATATCCCAATCCCTTTGACATTTCTATTCTTCGTATTACCTTCCCTTTCTGTGGGTCTTTGAACATTCAATCTCCTCTTCCTGGAATGCCCCTTTCCACCTGGGGAACTTAATTTACTCATCTGTTAATACCCAGCTCATTTTACTCTCTCTGTAAGGTCTTCCTAAATCCCTGATATCAGAGCTTTGATAGTATTTCAGTGACTGTATTTTTTCCATGGCAATATAACTATAGTATGCATGTTCATATTCCCTCTGACATGGACAGTTACTAGGCGCAGACACATCATATTATCCCTACTGCATCCTGGCACCTAATGCAGTACCCAGAACACAGTGGACACTTTATAAACATTAATGTAATTTGAAATGTGAAGAGTAAAATCCCAAATCTAATTATATAGTTCCAGTAAACTTACAAAGTCTGTATTTTTTCTTTAATATTGGAAATTGATGTCACTAACCTTTGCTTTTAAAAAACTTAAATAGTGCTGGTGGTAGAGCTAGAGTGAAAAGAAGGCAGGCAAAACCTCACCAAGATTCAACAATGAAAAATGTCATTAAGAAAACAATTGTCTTACGTGGTCTTCACTCTTCAGTTGCTTTACCCCAGATTCTATAACCTTAATGTTGGGAAAGCGATGTTCTAACATGGTACTTGGTTGTTCTTCAACATCAAATTCTTCCAATATTTTAGAAATCTGTATAGATCAAAGAGATTAAAAATGCATATTTTAAAAGCATTTTCTTTCAAGAATCTTAAATAATAAAAATACTTCACTTTTATACACTAATTTGTGTTTATAGTTAGCCACCTGTAATATATAGAGTGGAAAGAGGACTAGACTCAGCATTTAGAGACTTAAACATTTGCTTGGCTGCTCCTGGGCAAGGCAGGTGTTACAAGCCATAGATTCCTGGCTAACAAAATGAGACTATTTTACTGACCTGTAAAATGAGGGGTAATACCACTTACATTTCTACAGTTTAACCAAACCGCTTACTTATTTCCTTATTCTTCAGGCTTTCTCTCTCAGTTTACTTGCTAACCTTATGTTGATCGAGGCTGTGCACTTTTCTTTCCTGTTGATAAAACCATATTCTTCTAGACTCCTTTCCTTTCTATACAGCTAAAGTTCAATTGTGAATCATTTAATCTTTTCCCCAAATCCTTTACTTCCTTGCTTTCTTATCCTAACCCGTTAACCTGAAAACTCCCAACCCTATACCACCTGCTTTCTCTAGTCCTAAACCCAGCTTGCTGCAGGAAGACCACACAACCTTGCATACTGATATTCCATCTCAGCTGCTCCTTAAACACTGCATGGAAATCTTACTGTATGGCCCTGAACAGTTCTCAAAACTTTCGGTCTCATGTCCCCTTTACATTCTTACAAATTATTTAAGAACCTACTTCTAGGGTTATTTAAGGATCATATGTTTGAAACCTTTAGAAGACTATTTGGTGCATGGTAAGCACTTAACAAATGTAAATGATTAGTAGTAATCTTTTTTCTCCTTTAAAAATTATACAAGTCATGAATCATGCTCTTTGTAACACTAAACAAACAATACACAATAGAGAGTAAATGTTAAAGTCTCTCTTTAACACGCTCTAAATCTCATCCCTAATCCCTCAGGGTAAGCACCAGTGACTTTTTGGTGTTATGTTCTTTACTTTGAATCTCTGTATGTTATGTGCCTAGCACATTGGTTGATATATAATATAGGTGCTCAATAAATAATAAAGATGATGCCATTTCCTACTGCTGTGCACAGAATAGCTGTTATTTGTATGTCTGTTACTGGCACATTTAAGCTTACAACCCTGTGAGGCAAGGAAAGTATTAATAACCTAATACTACAGGTGTTGCAACTTACACAGATCTTCCAAGGCTACCCAACCAGTAATTAAGATTCAGGCCTAGAAACCAAGTTTGTTCCTTCTATTGTACATAACTTACAAAACTGGCAAAAACTGAATTCAAGTCTCATAACTCTTGGATTACTATACTAAATTAGGTTATCTAGAAATATAATTATGAGACCCAGCTACACAGCTTTTTTTTTTTTTTTTGAGACGGAGTTTCGCTCTTTTTACCCCAGGCTGGAGTGCAATGGCACAATCTCGGCTCACTGCAACCTCCGCCTCCTGGGTTCAGGCAATTCTCCAGCCTCAGCCTCCTGAGTAGCTGGGATTACAGGCACGCGCAACTATGCCCAGCTAATTTTTTGTATTTTTAGTAGAGATGGGGTTTCACCATGTTGACCAGGATGGTCTCGATCTCTTGACCTTGTGATCCACCCGCTTTGGCCTCCCAAAGTGCTGGGATTACAGGTGTTAGCCACCGTGCCCGGCCTACATCTTTCTCTTAAATATGTACTCTTAGCCTGTCATTAAACACGTACTTTTACCTTTTAACGATTAATAGCTATAATTTTTCCTCTGTTTCTCCCAAACCCCATAACTCTTTGGGTATACCTAAGTACTAAGATATCATACGTATCTCTACATATGAGAGGTTTACATTATAAAGGGACAACATGGAATGTGCCACTAAATTACCCTTGGCCTTAGGGGTTTACAACATGAAAAGGTTATATTCCATTACCAGGATATTATAAGAAACACTGTATTAAATGAAGGGCTATGGTAGTAGTCTTCACTGAAGGGTGGGAAGAAAGATCAGAATGTATGTTTTTCACCATTGCAGAAATTTTATTTGGCACAGGCTTTATTACAGTAATTGTAGTCTTGTAGCTTATGCATATAACTTAGTAGTATATATATATCGGGATGTCAGGGCAAAACTTTTTAACAGTTGAACTACAGGATCAAAAAAGTTTGGAGATGGCTTTTCTATGATACTATGTTCTTATACTCCTATTATAATGCGATACAAATTAATGGAATACCAAGTGTTCAGAGATGCTTATTCAATGTCTGAAAAACTAATTATCTGTATGTATAAATATTAAATGTCTGAAAACTAATTATGTGTATGTATAGAAGCCCTTTTCTGATTTGTAAACACACATACACACCCTATCCATATTTATAAGAAATATATACATGTATATTTGTACCTATTCTAGACTTGCAGAGCATCTTTCCTGAAAAAATTTTTATTGGCAACTTTCCCAAAAGTAATTCCAACTGGAAGAGAAAAAGAGAAAAAGAATAGAAGACTAAAAACTCGGTATCATTCTGGGAGCTTTTGGTATTCTATCTGAATAATTCTCAATTAGAGCTTTTTAAAAATGACTATCAAAAGAATCTTTGTAATCTTAAACAATTAAAACACTCCAGAATGCACAGAGGTGTTGCCATCAAGATGGCTAAGTAGGAGATGCCAGCCTTCATTCCCCCATAAAAAAACAAGTATAGACAACTATTGACAAGCCAAAGTGGCCCAAAGTGGGCTCAAGGGCCTTCAAGCAATCTGTAGTAACATAATAGAGCAAAAAAATGGAGACTATCCACATAAAAAATAATCAATAATGACCTTGGCATGCCTGAGAAACCAGGAGATGGCTAGGAACAAAGAAAGGCAGAGGCTATCAGTATCAGCCACATGGTGGGGACTGCTGTGGTCCATGGTGGCCTGCACTGCAAAGAAAACTGGCATCTCTTGCTTCTGTGAGGGAACCGACAACTATTCCTGACAGGGAACCCAGAGAGGGAGACATGGCAGCACATCCTGTCTCTACAAAGAAGTGGCCAATGTCAAGATGCTTTGGAAAAGGAGTCGCTTCATCTCTCAAACCCATGAGTGCCCCAACCCCAGAGTCCTGGTCATCCTGAGAATGCCCACACCTCAGACCCAGGTTCTATGGCCTGCACTGGGCCCAACTGTATCTCAGACACCAGAGCCATCACCATAGTAAGCTAGTTTGCACTTTGGGCCCTACAACCAAGCCTCACTGCACGTCTGTAATCCAGTCACTGGCTCAGCCGCCACTGAAAGCTAGGCCCCACCCTGACACTGAAACTGCTGTAACTGAGCATACCTGCATTCCCATTCTTGGTTTCCCTGGCTGCTTCACAAGCATTCTCACCTCACATTCTATTGTCAATACAGCAGTATGGTGCCTGTACCCTAGCCATCAATGTCATTACTGTCCCAGATCCCAGAGCTTTAGTTCCTCCATGTTTGGGCCTCAGCTCTATCATTGCTCCATAGGCACCACTTATCAGACACAGTGCTGATAAATGGTGCTGCCGCCACTGTAACTGAACCCAGAAGGCAGACCCAGTGCCAATAGGGATCCCCTAGGACACAACTTCCTTTGTAGGAGAAAAAAAGATTGGGATGCTCTTAGGAGCCATAGACATTGAAAACCCAACAACCCCCATTACCACTGCAGATGTCCAGAGTTGGATGCTGAGGATCCCCGCAATCTTCAACAATGATTAACTCAGCTGACAGAGCTGCATAGACTACAAAGTGGACACCCTCACTGGTGCCAGAACTGCTGCATCCCATCCAGCAAGCAGCCCTCCCCATAGGGAAAGGTTTTTCCACATCGAAACTAGCCCACACTTCTGAAAACAGTGAGTGTGTCATCAAATGAGCAAACATCAACATATGGCAACAAGACAAATGATAAACCAAGAAGGCATACCACCAAAAGAACACAAGGAAATGTCAGAACTGCCTGACAAAGAATTCAAAATAATTGTTTAAAGAAGCTGAAGGAACTTTAAGAAGTTATAAACAATTCAATTAAATCAGGAAAACAATAAGCAACTGAAATAAAAAATTTAAAAAGAGAAGTTATTTAAAAAAACAGAAATTCTGGTGATGAAGAATGCAACGAATGAAACAAAAAAAT